ACCACTCTTCACACGCAAGAAATTTTCTAACCAGAGAATCAACCGTACACATCTACACGATCTCTCTCTAGATCATTATGTGGTAAGCAAATTCCACATCAGCTATATCCCACATCACACACTCTTGACACACGTACCATAAAGCTAACACTGGTATAAAACAGCGTTCACGGAGCCCTCTACCTCCTCTGCTTCGCCCACTGCCCGCACAACCAGATCGCGTCGTGGGCGAACATCCCCGGCGCGTCCATCACCATGTGCGACGCGGCCAAGGCGCGCGCCAACGCGGCCGGCGCGCAAGGCAAATACGACCGCGCCGTTACCGAGCACGTCCCCGCCTCCAAGGACATCAGCTTGGTGGTCAACCCGTACTGCTGCAAGAAGGGCGAGGACGGGTACGAGGAGAATGAGTCGGCCAACTCGCACCACTACTACTGGTGCGACAAGTGCGCCGACGACAAAAAAAAGCCCAGGTACCCGCGCACGACGAGCGAGTAGGGGATCGGCCGTTGGGGGTGGAGGTCGGGGAATTTTCTTCGGGGGATGCGTCTAGGAATGTGAGTAGGTAGTCTCAATCGATATCCCAATTTTTTGGAACTTACAGACCCCACTGAAGACGGTGATCTCTATGTTCTCCTGCGTAGTTTTTGGTGACCAGTGCGTCATTTGAACACCACTACAGAAACTTGGTTTTAGCCCTGAAGTAGCCACGGACAGATCAGAGGCGCAAAGTTCCAGGACCTTCCCAGTGGACCTGGCGGGTACGAAGAGGGAGCTGGAGCCGAAGATTCAGCTGCTGTGAGCCTCAAATATGGGATAAAGAGCATTTGGCGGGGGAAAATTCTGAAATAATGCCATATATTGATAAGCTTGTAGTCGTCCTACACCTTCGCCCCTTCCACGGTCCAAAATGCAGCCGTTCATACTAGTATGACTGCTTTTCCGCCCGGGTTATGGCCGCCTTTGATGTTGGACTTTGCCAGCGATAATGATTCCGCAGACAGTCTCCCGCTCTGCATCTGACCATCATCGCATCTTGTAATTCTCGGTGGTTCGCCACGGCTCTTAACCGGGTTCCAAGTGTCATCGCAACGAAACTGCAGCAACTTTGTAATGTGCTCTGCCCATCATGGGGAGCTTCAGCTAGCATTGGGACACATCCTATGTGCGAACGAAATTCTGGAAGCTCATGTGCCTAACTGGATCCGTAGGAGCCGAAACGCCGGTAACGATACGGGCCATCAGTCGCCGATCATCCGTGGCCGATCATCCGTGGAAACGCTTTCCATTGAGCTCTCGATGCAAGAATAACATGGCTCTAACAATTTCACAGTCCTAGAAGTTTTACAGGTATAATTACCTGCCTTGGTCCCTTAGCACCTTCATGAGAAAAGTCTTTGTCCCAGACGTTAACGAGGCTCATTATACAGTGACGAACACCCAAGCCAGCCGATTGACCAAGCTCCCGTGGTCCATTTCAGTACAATTATCCCTATTAGGCGGGGATTCCAACCCCAGACAAACCAGCAACACACCTCTTATCTAGGCCCTCGCGCGGCTCAATCATCATGTGGTAAGTATGCTCGCTCTTGGCCTGGTACTAGTTCCCCGAGCCGGTGTGCACTGGCTGACGGACACGACTAGCACCTACGGTACTCTGCACTTCTTTGCACATATAAGTGCCCAATTGATGTAATCGGCAAATTCGATAGCATCGCGGGGGCATTGATCCACAAGTGCGCAGCCGCCGAGGCCAGGGCCAAAGCGGCTGGCCTGGAAATGATCACGCATCCATGATCCAAGTTTGGAAAGATGGTTTCTATCAAACACTCCAGATTCTAGATGCCAGGCTTGCCTTGACAATATAGTGGTATATTTGGCAAACTCAGAGAGGGGACAAACGCGGGAAGTCAGAAACATGCTGTGACACGATGCGACGTTTGCGAGTTCCGAACACGAAAATCATTTGGAGTTCGGCCCAATGGGTCGCGAGCGGCATTTCCCTTGGCTGGCTGAACAGCTTGGGAATGCGTACAGTGTGAGGGCTGTCCGGGGCAAACGGAAACCTTTGGAAACGAGAGTGAAAGTGGGATTTGCGAACGAGAAAAGGGGTAAGCAATTTCCCCGGCAAAGTCTTAATTCACAGATCGTTGTCATCGTCAACCTCGATTCATTGCACTCTAACGCAAGTAAGGCCACTTGTAAGCAAGAGGCTTATCGGCGGTGTTATTATCGCACAAATCCCGAGATGCTCCTCTGATTCGATATGGAGATTATGGAGTTTACCTAGATCCAACTTTCATCGGAAAACAGAACTGTCATCAGTCACTGGCATGATGCCGCAAATGGTCAGGTGAGCAACATTGAAACAACAAACTGTTTCCTAACAAACTGATTGCATAATATGCCTACTATTAATACGTCTTAACCAGCGGATCGATCATGAAGCTTCCCGAACCTCATTCCTCAGTCCTGCCACTCCCCGAGCCATTCATTCCCAATATTTCCCATCACGAACCCTCAATACAGCTTTTGGGTTGCAATTTCTACGCCCCTCTTACCACATCAGATCCAGTAATGGCAACCGCCAATCCTCGCGAGTCGAACATCGGCACGCAAACACCCTTCAAAATCATCTCGTCAGAGCTCCATTTCCGCAGCGATGGCGCGCAGTTCTGGTGGAATACTACGGGCCGCATGCTCGCGCGGCTACTCCAGGGTGCCAAATACACGGCGACTGAGCAGTACCGCGAGCTCTTTTTCTATGCCCTGTGGGTAGTCCCCGAGCTGGGTCCCGCGCCAAATACCAGTGGCAAGCCCAACGCATGGCCTAGCGTCTGGTCACCCAGCGGCACCCCGATCGAGTTCAGCTGGGACTTTGGTATCGTTGGCGATGAGCCCATGGTTAGATACTCGTTTGAGCCGATTGGGAAACAGGCGGGGACCGACGAGGATCCTTTGAACAGCCATGCTGCTGGCGACTGGAGTGATCGTGTTCACCGACAGGGAATGGTTCCGAACCTGGACCTGTCTTGGTACCGCCATTTCACAGCCCATCTCCTCCCGCCGACAGACACAAAGAGAGTTCAGACAGGCGAAGGCATGGTGGTTGAAGAGATCACACCGAAGGCCGGCACAGGCGTGGCGATTGATGTCGAGGCGTCCGGCCCCGTCATGAAAGTCTATCTCTTCCCCGGCCTCCGAGCACTCGAGCTCGGCATCTCCAATCTCGAGGTCGTCGAGCGTGCCATCCGCAGCCTGCCGCCCGACGAACTCGCCGCGCTACAAGTCGAGCCTCTGCTGTCATACCTGCATGAAGCAACAGCACGGTGGGGCATGGAAACGGGGATCGTGTGCATCGACTGCCTGAAGCCCGGCGACGCGCGCATCAAGATCTACGTGCGCGCGCCGTACACGACGCTTGACTGGCTGACGGACGCCATCACGCTCGGCGGGCGCATGGACCTGAGCGAGTATGCGGAGGCGGTGCAGGATCTTAAGTACTTGTGGCAGGCGTTCCTGGGCTGCGGCTCGCATGTGGTACCCGCCGACGCACCGGGCCGCGCCAGGCCGGGCTTTTACTTCACTGTCGGCCGCGGCAAGCCCGCATCGCCCAAGATGTATCTCTCGCCGGGTTACTATGTGAAGTCCGATGCAGAGGTCATTAGGCGTCTCCGCGGGTTCTATACTTCCCGCACGACTGGGTGTGAGAAGCTGCGTGTCGTGGAGGAATTCGCTGCAGCTTTGAAGGACACTTAGTAAGTAAACCACAACTTATCCTGCAATGATCGTGAGAATTCACAAGGTTACTTACACTGCACTGTTTTCCAGTGGCGATTGGCTGGAGCAGTCCGGCTCAGGCACGATATTCTATGTCGGAGCCGCCATGACGAAGAAACACGGGCTGCGGGTCGTCACCTACCATGACCCTTCTGTCATAGATACGAAGAGGCAACACCTACTTTGAGTAGAACGGAGGTAACGGGAGAGGCCTGACTTTTCCCACCCAAGTTTCCACCAGGGATACAAACGGGAAAAATTGTGGGTGTACATAAATCTAGCTGTCTTGCAGATATTCAGTTGCCATCTCCCTCCGAGCACATCCGTCGAGTCCGAGTAAATCACGTAAATTACCCTCGTCGCCTTCCCCTAAGAAGACAACTCCTGCGCCTATACAATTGTGCATGCATCGAAGAGCCCCCCTCACTGCCGAGCCAGCGGATTCGTCAAGACAAAGCTACTCACGACAACGGCTAAAGCGCGACTGTGGACGGCAAAATGCGTAGCGTGGGGTCGCGGTGCTAATGCAGGCCAGCTGTGGAGAAGCTGGAGAAGTGCAATCTAGGCAGACGTTTTCATGTTTGCCAAAAGCTTCGTGGAACCGATGTATCCCGTTTTACTCGCCACTTTTCGTTGCCTCTTTTTTTGCTTGCCTCTCGGGTCTTGCCGTGCACGTGCCAAGAGAAAAGAAAGGGGCTGCCAAGCGGTAAACACTGGCTCGGGACTTTCGGAGAAGCTGATGAGCCTCTGCTGCGTGCATCGTTTCAAGAAAACAAATCTCTTCATAAAGTCAAGCAGTTACAAATGTTCGAAGTCTCGAAAAAGGAGGAACGAACTCCGGGACGTTTTGGCACAACACAAACAGAGACAAGACCACACTCCAATACAAAGTTCAGTCCTTCCATTTTACACTGGACAATCAACTAACAGTTCATGGACTCCCCGGCAACTCAGTTAACCTTCTATCCCATCCCATCCCCTCCCCTCTCACACCATCCAATCACCACTCGCAAAACCCCACATTCACAACCAAAATCCACCCTCCACACTGGTCCACAGAACATCCACACAAACAGGACCCGCCGCAAGCCCACAAGAAATAAATGCCCTCGGCACCACAAAACCCAAAACACCCGCCCGGACAGCCTCCCGGCTGCACGCTCTGCGCCGTCTGCGGCTATTTCCCAATATACCCTCCTCCATGTCCATCAAAGCAACAAGGGCCGCTGGTCTAGTGGTATGATTCTCGCTTAGGGTTGTATCCTGAGCACAAAACTTGCGAGAGGTCCCGGGTTCAATCCCCGGGTGGCCCCCATCATTTTGCCAGCTCCGGCAGGAGGAGCTTGTTTAGTTTTTGGCCTTTCCCATCTTGCTTTTGTTCTAACTTTTTTTGCTTGCCACACACTAAGGGTTAGTTAGTAGGTACTGACATGACGTCCAACCCTCAAACTGGGTTAATGGAAAAGAGGATATCTGGGAAATATCATTGCTCTCTATTTGTCTCTATCGTTCTATGGCTCTAAGCTCATTCACGATGGCAAAGGGATGAAGACATCGCCCTGAGACCCCTGCATCCGTCCTTGCCACATTTAACTCCCCTGATAATCCGCCGCGCATCACAGCCGTGCGAGGACTTTCACGCTGCCCCCAGTCTCCACCAGCTCTTCGGTCCTGGCCTCCGCATTGAGGCGCTTCCACATGGCCTTGCGCCGTTCATGCCCACTATTAAACGACGCCAGCCACTCCTGCCTGAACTTCGGTAGTTTCCTGCCCACCCCGTCCTGTCCCTCGCCCGCCAGCCGCCGCACCGTCTCAAAGTACTCCTCAAAGTCCGGGTTGACGACGCAGAACTTGATGCTGTCGCCGCGGGCCCTGGCGCGGTCGTCCTCCCACGCACGCATCTCGGCAGCAGGCGGCAGGCGCGCGCGGCCCGCCAGCACGCGCGCGGCGAGGACGGCCTGCCACTCGAAGATCTTGAACGTCAGGCCGGCGGCGACGGCGCCGACGAACGCCAGCGTCGGGTCCGCGTGCCACACGACGTGCTGGTACAGGCCGGGCACGCGGCCGTGGCGTACGGGCACCTGCGGCAGGAACGGCAGCGACCACGTGTAGCCCGTCCCGAAGACGATGTGGTCGACGTTGGCGATGCTGTGGCCGTCGATGAGGTGCACGCTGCGCGTCGCCGCGTCGACCCGCGCGATCGACGGGTGCTCGCGGATCCGCGGGTGCTTGAATGCTTCGTCGCCGAAGTAGCCGTTGGCGGTGTGCCCGATCGTGATGGCGTGCACGGGGATCTGTGCTGTCTTGCTGTGCGCCAGGTCCACGGCGATGTCTGCGGCCGACACGGAGGCGCCAACTACCACGACCCGCTGTGTCGGACAAAAATGTGTCAGCTCTCGTCTTATTTTATCGACTAGCTGTCGCCGGAGAGTGACATACCTTGTCCCTGAACTGCTGCCTCCCGCGAAAGTGCTTGCTGTGCAGCACGCTGCCCGGGCGCGCCTTTTCAAACTCGTCCAGCCCGTCAATGTGCGGGACGTACGGAACCCAGTAATGGCCGTTGGCAACAACAACAGCATCGAACCACTCGACCCACCAGTAGTCAGTCGAGACACCTGGTTTGCGCAGCGTGACCTTCCACTCGGCGCCGACCTTCTCGACGCGCTCGACCCAGGTGCCGTAGGCGACGAGGTCCGGGTAGCCGTTGCGCTGGAGCAGCGCCTGCACGTAGCGGCGCAGGGCCTGCCAGGGGCGGAACGGCGTGTCGGGCCCGTGCAGCGCGACGCCCAGCGCGCTGCGCTCCGCCGGGATCGGTTCCTGGCTGAACTCCATCGTGAGGTCCTCGACGTTGGTCTCGAGGTACGGGTAGACGGACGACTCGGCGAAGCGCGGCTGCTGCTCTTCATCAGTGCGCACCGTAGGCGTCTGCGCCGGCAGCGTCGCCGGGATCGCCAGCGGCCGGTCGGCGCTGCCGTCTGCGAGCGCCGCGAGGTTGCGGAGCTTGGGCGGGGGCGCTGCGTCGCCGATCCTGTGTGTCCGCAGGTCAGTTGAGCTCCAGACTCCAGTGGACATGGCATTGTCGTTCTAGGATTTTCACTCGAGAAAAAAGAAAAGCTCACCAGCACCCTCCCGGCCCTTCGCGCCGCTCAAACACGCGGATCACGTCAAACGCCTTTTCCCGCGCTAGAGCATCAACGGCGATGGCGCCTGCGGGTCCGGCACCAATAACGGCTACGCGCTTCACCCGTGCACCTAACATGTTTCTTGGCTCGGGCCGGAGCTGCAATGGCCGAGCGCTAGTCAATTAACTCGGTGCTAGCGTGGGGTGGTCTGGAGTTGGGCAGGGCGGAGGCCGAGTTGGTGTGCAGGACATTAATTGGAGTGGGGGAGTCGTTATTTTGCTCGATCGTCCGACTCCGAAGCGCTGTGGCTCTTTTTTAAAGTGGAAAAAAAAAGGAGGAAACAGTCGACAGTGCCCGTTCCGCAACGGAAAGCGCAACTGCAGTTCGCAGCACGCCATCCAGGCAAGAAGTGGTGTCGAGTGGGCCATGATTGCAATGTGGAGTTTGTGAGTTGTCACGAACTGGTCCGCACGCATGGGGCCCCGTTACCCAGGGGCCCAGGGGGACGGCGGTGTTTTGTGGCAGAATCAGATCCATTTCAACGGTACGATAGCAAGCAGCGGGGAAGGGAAGAGGGATGAGCCGGGACCGGCCCAAGGTTTGCTATACGCCATTTGGGGAAATTACGATGATATGAGATGCCACGTCGAGACCGCAGTCTGTTTCGGGAAAAGGTTTTCCGTAAGCTGGCCGGGCAGCTGCCAGATTGAGCCTTCGTCCCGCAGGGGCAGCACCCGACGCCCGGCAACGAATCAGTTGGCTCCCCTCAATCTTTAGGGGTCAAGGCGGCTTGACAGGATCGATTGCCCCGCTATCCGTTGTCGTTGCCGCCCGCTGCAACGAAAGCGACCTAGTCAGCAGCCTGGCAACGAGCAGCATGACAACAAAGGTATTAACTTGTTGTAATTCCCTGTCCATGGATCTACACGTGTAGACTAGGTACCTACAACGACAACGGTGCCCGCACTAATGATAAGTCGCGCTCGCGATCCCTAACTTCCTATGCTTACCTACCTACGTTTACTCAGTCACCAGTGTCCTCTCCCACTAGATCAGGCCTGCACCAGAATGCCCCTGTCCTCGGGGCCGTCATCCCTCTGTGGTCCGTTGCATGACAATTCTCACCATTTGTGTTTTGCTTTGCAAGGCCGACTACTCCTGCCTGTGACTGGGCGCAGAACTGTTTAGGCTCAAGCCGTTGCCTTCCCCTTTCCGGGCTGCGTCATGATGTAGTCCTTAGCCGTGAACCCGTCGAGACATTTGCGCGCAGTGAAGCGCTTAGTGTAGTCCTTCACCAGGAGATTCTTGAACCTACGGGGCAGGACTGGCGTGGCGTCTTTTGACTTTTCGTCGTATCCGTAATTGGCGAGCCACTCCAGGCGAGTGAACCAGCTAGTGCCGTCGGACGCCTTGTCGGAATCCCCGTCATTGTACACGTTCTGGGCGTCTTTGATCCCGAGCGCTGTCAGCTTGGCGCACCACCTCTCGTAGGACATTTTGAACTCCTGCGGGCATATCAGCCCCTCCACCTGGGCCAAAAAAATGCTCAGGATGTAGGGATCGGTGGTCTCGGTGCCTCTCTCCCACCTGTCATTTCCGGCAACAGATTCTGCAACCTCGGGTGGGAGGTAGTATTGCCTCTCGTCGGCAGTACGGGCACGGATGATAACGCTTTTGTCGTGGGCGGCCGCGACTTCACTCGCGGACCCGAAATCCCCAATCACAAAGTCGTACGTTGGTTTACCATCTCCCGGCCAGTAGTTGGGGATACGGGGATGGTCTGGCAATGGGCTGAACATGAAAAAGATGTTCGGAATCTTGAGGTCATAATGGACGACCTTCTGATCCTGCAAATACGTCAGACCGGCCAGCAGATGCTCGACCAGGCGCTCCATCCAGTCATACGAATAAATCATCGGTTTCACGCACTTGTCACCAAGAACTTGGTTGTGCAAATTGCGGGGAGGGATGAGCTGGGACAGGTCTCCGTCATACATGCGGGAAATGAGCCTGAGATCTCCAAGTGTCCCACCCTTCTCCCAGCCAAAGACTTCGACAATGTGCAGCTAAAGACCATCGACGAGATGATTAGCAAAGAACGAGACTAATTATTAGGCTGGGGAGACGGGTTCTAGTACTAACATGTTTCAGCTTCACCCCATATTTCGCCTCTTTTTCAATGGTTTCGCAGCAATCTTCTAGAGATGATTCCAACTTTTTTTGCTTGTCTACGTTCGCTTTAGGCTTCGGCCTCTTGACGGCCATCACCTGCCCAGTCTCTAGGTGGACAGCTTTGGCCGCTTCGCCGAAAAAGCCGCTCCCGAGCGGAACGTAGTAGTGTATCGGTTCGTGCCGTGTCACGGTTTTCGCCCCGAAACTCGCAGGCATTACATTGTCGACGGGTGGAACACCAGCTTTGGTAGCCTCCTTTGCCAGCCCGAGCGCCGCTTGTACCAGTGACCGCTGGGCTAGCGGGTTCCCGGGTTTTTCCAGATATTCGTCGCGCCACTCTAGCGTAAAGACTGCTTGTACGAGGCCCTGCGCGGGATCGGATCTGCCAATCGTGAAAAGTATCACCGCCCCGCCACTCCTGGGGATGACTCGTTGGACGTGTTTGGCATTGTGTTGGAGCCGGTAGAGCGCGGCTTGCTCGGCGGGCCAGCCTTGGAGGTGAATGTCGGTCTGCCTTTGCGGCGACAAGTCGCGCAGCATGAGCTCGCCGGCGCTCTGGTCGTCGAGGAAGAAGAAGCAATGGTGATCGGCGTAATCCGGATTGTCCGGCGGGAGGACGATGTCATTGTCAGGGCTCCGACCAAATGACAGCAGCTGTCCTTTTCTTTTGGCATCCCTTCTGCAGTCCACCGGGAAGCTTTGAATCTCTTTTCCGTCATCCGGGGCTTTTTTATCCTTCATGTGCGGCTTGTTGGCTGGCAGGTTGAGGATCTGCAAGGCTTTCTTGTTTCGCGCAATTAGCGTGAACAGATTTCCACCTATAGCTTGGTTGGTCGAGGCAGCCGCCGGCGTGCCGGTGCCGAGACTTGTCATTGCAGATAGGAAAGGGTGGTGTTAAAAGGCGGGAATATTCAAAACCTGGTAGGTATTCAACCATCCGTTTAGAGAGGCGCTGGATGCCTCTTTTAGCGAGACACATTCCTTGGCCAGGGTGTCGGCTAGCCATTTTCAACACCCTC